GACCTTGACCCCGACTGCACCAACTTCCACATAATTGAGACGAACTCCTACGGAACGATCTACAGGGCGCACCACCAGACCGTGAAGATGATTGTGGCTGTCAAAGTCGTCCGTTGCGTACGCATATAACTTCTGCGTTGGCCTCGGATTCACCGCGCGCGCTCTTAGGATCGTCACGGACCGTTTCCCAATACATATACATCGGACCGGGATGGGCAGCCAAAAGACGTGTGTTTTAATCCTTCTTCCGCAGCGCCGAGTGTTTTAACGGTGCATCCCAGTTCTCTATCCTACAGTCTATCGTTCACCCCAACGTTCTCGAAATACTGAACGTGTACCGTTCGAGCACCTCGCCGATGACCAGTGCGTTAAATCTTCCTCTATTTGGCACTTAGCCAATGTGATCTCGGAACAGACATCATCTCCGAGTACATGGGCGGTGGCACGCTGCTCGACTACATACGGAACGAGTATCAGCTTCAGCTGCCCAAGCGTATTGATCTCTCCCATCCGGGTCTGGGTATTGGTGAGTCCACACCTCGCATCGCCTTCCAGCTCTTGATGGTATCGATGCAGAAGAACTCACTGCGCGCGACATCATGTACCAACTCTGCCAGGGGATGGGGTACGTTCACCGCCTCGGTGTCGTGCACCGCAATCTCAAGCCCGAGGTACGGAAAGCCAATGTTTCTTTTATCAATACAACGAAGACTAATGAACGGGTATCGTACCGGAGTAGAACATTCTCCTCACAGGCGACAAGATCCCTTTCATTAAAATTGGAGGCTTCGGGCTCGCCGCACGGATCACGCAAGATCGGGGGAAACTAACGGTTCGTCGCTCCCTTTCCGCGTCCCGCTAATATGTCGACTGACAACGCGTGGGCTGCCAGGCCGTCACTGGCTCGCTCGACTATATGGCTCCCGAGGTGCTGCATCCGGCCGAGCCCGGGTACGACCAGCGCGCTGATAGCTGGAGCGCAGGCATCATATTCTTCGAGCTGTGCGGTCCTCTCAATCTTGGAAAGTGGCCGATCTGATTGGTGTCTTGTAGCCTCATCTTAGAAAAACCGTATGTCTACCGCCCACGCGCCTTCCCCGAGCTCGTCCTCCCCGCATTGCGCTGGGAGACGCTTCGCGACGGTCGCCTATCCGACGACGGTGCGTCTTCCCCCTTCGGTGTTCTCTTTATTCCCAGTATCCTTTTCTCTGTATGCGGCTATGAATTCGAGCGACTCACTGACAGCGCTCGTCACATCTGCAGGATACGACCTCCTCGAACGTTTGCTACGTGGAACCCCTGCCAGACGCTACTCGTTGGGCGCCGCACTGGAGCATCGGTGGCTGACGCACCACCGGCCGATGTACCCAAATGTAATTTATCCGCAGGCGGAATAAAGGGTGGAGTCGACGGGCGACGAACTTCGAAAGGCATTTTATTTTGTGCGACGTACGGTATGTACAGCACGAACTCCAACTCTACCTATCCTTTTTGATTAACAGCTTGCAAGGTGCTGGTCATTACTCTCCGCAGCCTATTGCATTCAATGCACGCGAAGATCGCTCCTAGCGCTCCACCTTCTTGAATTCACTATGCTGAATAATTGGTTACAAAGCACAAAAAATCGAATTGTCGACTGGCACGGCGCAACATAGAGTGGTGTTGAAATTATGTTGTTTCGTCCAACAACCATGCAATGAGTGCAAGTATCCCACCATTAACCTGTCTCCCTGCGGTGTTGCTCCACTCGTGGCTCCAACTATATCCGATTCTCACTGCGGAGGACGAAATAAACAAGCGGTGATTTCCAGCATCTCGAGGTGGGCGAAGTGCAGCGTCAACAACTAGAGTGCAAGGAATGTCCCTGGATGAGAAATCCGACATCGTGAGCGCAGTCATAGTATGCAAATGTGAGGCCAGGCTTGTGCAAGCTCAGACACCGCAGCGTCGTTGAGGTCGAGTCCGTACGGAAGTCGGATGTCAACGACCTGCAGGTTGGCGAAGCGTAGGACGGGTGTACGCGTGTTAGGTTGCCAATGGTCGCGGTTAAAATGTTGACGCCGATCTTTAAAATGTCCAAGTAGATGGTGGAGCAATGCGATGAGAAGGCGTCTACTTATTGTGATTGTCTGGAACACATCCAGTTCTGGACCACGTATTACGAACGAATTCAATTAGCGTTTGGCATTGAACCTTTTTTGTGCAAAATTCCGATTATAGCTTCGCGTGGAGAACATGCTACAACTTGTCGGGGAAGGGACACTGTTGGATCAAAGCGATGAGCACTACACCGCCAACGGGACCTCAGCCGTGTCCCGGGTGGAACGGCCAGCCCAGCATATTCATCATCTGGGCACACCTGGCGCCTATCTGGCCTCCATAGGCTGGCGGTTCCAGCTGTGTACTATGTAGACAGATTGGCACCCCATCTGTTCCCCAGCTGTATGCTCCAGCTGAGTATCTGTAAATATATTACTCTGCAGATCTATTTACTACAATACTAGTAGGCCGGCCGAGATGCCGCAAGGCCGAGATATTCAAGTTTTAAATTTAGATCGCTGATTGAGAGCATGCTTATTAGTCATGTGGTTGTGTAGTCCCACGACGGCAATCCTCTCCGCCCGATACATCCATCAAGCTAATGCCTGTTATATCGTCCGGAAAGGTGCTTGTATCCGGGGCGAACGGATTTATTGCTGCGGTAGGCAGAAGCTTGTCATTAGTTGCTTACACTAACGGCTTGATTAAGTGGGTTGTGCGCTTGCTCCTGGAAGCAGGTTTCTCTGTACGAGGGACAGTTCGCTCTGAAGCAAAGTGTGCACATTTCCGGAAAGAATTTGCTTCGTACGGCAACAGGCTTGAGTTCGTCATTGTTCCCGACATTACTAAGGTAAGTACGTCGACGAGAGCGTTTTCTCATCCACTCGATAAACCAAACTGAAAAAATAATTTTAAAGGAGGGAGCATTTGATGAAGCCGTAAAGGGAGTGGATGCAATCGAACATACAGCATCCCCATTTCATCTCAATGCTGTCGCTGAGCCTGACGGTACGCTCCTTGTCTTCTGTTCGCTAAGTAAAACAAATGCCTGATTGTATCCTTGCCTTGATAGAGTTCATCGTGCCCGCGATACAAGGGACTGTTGGTATCTTAGAGAGTGCCCGGAAGCATGGGTACGCCTCAAAACCTTATCGCAGCTGCATCGTCATACATGTCGAATTCCCAGAACCTCAATCAAACGCATTGTTATCACCGGATCCTGTGCGGCCGTGCTGCAAATAGAACCCGAGCCCAAGACATTCAGTGAGCTCAACTGGAATGAACAGGCCCCGAAGGCGGTCGAGCTGGGCCATGACATGTCCACGCTCACCATATATCGAGCTTCAAAGACGCTTGCAGAACGAGGTGTGCAGCATAAAAAGCATACGACTCAAAATTAAGTCTAGTCTAGCGGCCTGGGAGTTCTTTAACGAACACAAGGGCGAGGTTGGGTGGGATTTAGTCGTGATCAACCCGCCGTACGTGTTTGGGGTGCGTCCATCCAGCTTCTCATCTCATCTACTTACTCAAAGTTCGGGGCTCCCGCCAGCCAACGATCCACGACACGCCGACGCCCGACGCGCTCAACACTTCTGCACGCGAGTTCTACACTATACTGACGGAGCCCTCGTCGCCCGCCACGCTCCGCCTCGGCTCCTGCTGGGTAGACGTTCGAGACGTCGGCCACGCTCACGTTCTCGCGCTGCTCAAGGCCTCCGCGGGCGGTGAGCGTATCATTGTCAGCGCTGGCCCATACGTGTGGCAGGATTGGCGTGCGTGACTCTCCTCCACTGTCGTACTCTCGTCCTCGTTTTGCCCACCGTTCTCGCTCGATTTGCCGACACGACTGACATACGCATGCAGTGGACGCTGCCCCGGATTCGCCTAAATTTCAGAAGGGAGTCCCTGGCTCGTCGAAAGGCATCGTGTACCAGTTACAGTACGACGCAAGAAAGTCGGTTCGCGTACTGGGGATGACGTACCGCACCATGCAGGAGACCGCGCGCGATACGGTGGCTGACTGGGAGGCCCGGGGATGGCAGTGAAGGCTGGTTCCTTAATTCAGACAGGCTACTAGTAACCGCTGTACTGTACAAATGTAGATTTGAAAGACCATTTTATGCCTGAAGTATACTGCGAGGCATCTGATGAAATATAAAGCGAAATGGCAACACATCAGAGTGCACAATTGAAGGGAATAGTATTATACGAGGATGTACTTAGTCGCTACGCTAAAGAGATGGTTAAAGGGGACCTAGCTGATTAACGCAACCCGGATCCGTTGAACTTGAGGCTAGTACAGTGAATTCACTATCGACGAGTTTGCCAACCCGAGAAGGTCGAACCAAAACAAGTGTTAAGGCCATTATGAACAAACTTCTTAGCTCTTCTTAGCCTTTGGATACTTGTGGGACTTGGCGAATGTTTTGCAGTTCCCTCTTCGTGATACCGTTCCTCAGTGGGAGTCCTTGCTCGAAACTGCAGTCACGGCTAGCGCTTGCGACTTCAGTTCTGTCGAGACTGCAGTTGCGGCTCGCGACTTTCAGTCCGGTTGAGATTGCAGTCCCTCAAGTCTCGACGTCGACAACACTCCACTCAAGTCGTGAGCTGGGACGGGACCTGATTCATGACCGAGCTGAAATGCTGCACAAAACTTGAGTTGGAACGCAAACTTCAGTGCGGGCTGGGACTTAAGATACGACGAAGGTCTTGAGATATAAACAGGGTCTTTAGCTACTAGTACTGTACTGACAGTGGGCAATGGCGGTATAATACAGGTTGCATGTGCTCTGGGGTCGCGGGGAGGGGACAAAGCTCCAGTTGAACATCAACAGGATTCAGATATCTGGCGATGATTTCACTTACATCTTCAGAAACATCGAATTTTATAGAACGTTTGCAATTCTTGGCCGGCCCATGTACCGATAAGTACAGAGTAAACATGAACCAGGGTAGACGAGACACTGATGGTGAAGCGGTTATCATGCTTGCCTTCCATACGGATTGCCCGGAAAGGATAGCAAGCGGCAGGGGTTCGACTCCCCTTCAGTGTACATTTGTGGAATGCAAAACTCTTTTTTTTTTGAGTTGCTTTTTTGTCTTGCGCGGAACCTGCAGTTCAAGCATCCCCCAAGGGACACAAAGCCGATTAATTTACGGTCTATGCGGCCGAGACTACCGCGGATGGACCTAGTCCAACAGGAATATACCCTGTTTTTTTCCCCCAATGCTCTTTACTATATTAAATATGAAGACGAATGCAACAAAGGCGGGTGACGTGGAACTAGGAGCAGATTCACACCACACAGGTCGGTCTGCATTCAGTTTTTGGGCAAATAATCTACTCACTCAAGTAAACGTTTCGGGTGCTTAGATGGGACAGGAATTGACAGGGAATTGACGAGGCACAGTTCGCAACCCGAGAAGGATATGACGTCCGGTGCTTCCTGAACTATCCTGTAAATTCAAGTTTTTCTTGAGAGGAGCAGATTTTTTTTGAGAGCAAATAAGGATGGGTTGTGCCCAGCAATATGTATTTTCTATGCACTGAAATTCCCTCTGATATTTTGAGGCCTCCTTTGTTCACACCCCTAAGGTATTCGAGAATGTTAAGTACAAGCCTCTCCCGTTGTTTCCCAAACTCAGCCCGCATCAACAAGCAATGGATCGGAGGCTTGGGTAAACACACATCTGTCTACACCTATGTCCACCTGACATGTGTCTAGCAAGGGGTTGAACGCAGTATGTACTGGCAAGACACTGATGGTGAAGCCGTTATCATACTTGCTTGTCCATATGCAGTGCTCGCAAAGTCAGGGGTTCGACTCCCCTTCAGTGTGTATATTGTTAACTGTGAATTCTTTTTTCTTCTTTTGAGTTGCTTTTTTGTCTTGCGCGGAACCTGCAGTTCAAGCATCCCCCAAGGGACACAAGCCGATTAATTTACGGTCTATGCGGCCGAGACTACCACCACTGTCACTACCTAGTCCAACAGAAATATACCCTGTTTTTCCCCCCCAATGCTCTTTGCTATATCAATATGAAGACGAATGCAACAAACAAAAGCAGGTGACGTGGAACTAGGAGCAGATTCACACCACACAGGTCGGTCTACATTTGGTCCCTGGGCAAATAATCTACTCACTCAAGTAAACGTTTCGGGTGCTTAGATGGGACAGGAATTGACAGGGAATTGACGAGGCACAGTTCGCAACCCGGGAAGGATATGACGTCCGGTGCTTCCTGAACTACATATCCTGTAAATTTTTCTTATATAAGAGGAGCAGAATTTCGTTGAGAGCAAATGACGATGGGTTGTGCCCAGAAATATGTATTTTCTATGCACTGAGATTCCCTCTGTTATTTTGAGGCCTCCTTTGTTCACACCCCTAAGGTATTCAAGAATGTCAAGTAAATACTTGCTTTTTTTCCAAACGCTGGAGCATCGAGATCTAGTGGTGGGGGAAGTACGAGGTGAAGCTGTCAGAGAAAGCAGGAATGTTTTTGTCAAACTCTGCACTGTTCTGCCAGCTCTGATACACAGGTCTCCCTATTACCACCTCATCTCAACTATATATATTTCAGAATGTCTCGATTTGCCGATCAGGGCTAAAGAGGGGTCGAGGAAAATATTCTGAATGTGAGGCAGAATATTATTGCTAGTTACTTACTGTAAATTTTCTGAGAGGAGTAGAACTTTATTGAGGGAGAATGAATGATTGAAGCGACCGGGTTGGCCGACGGTAGAGCTCGAACAATGTGAAGACGAAGCAGATGACCTGCCCTGCGCCACTAGACGACGCCGCCGGGTAGGGCAGAGCCCGATGCATGAGACGCAGAGGGTGTCGAGCCGTGCGAGGACAAAGGTAACTGTACGATAGAGCTGCTGTGCCCGTTGGCGGCGGCATACAAACTTGGGGAAGGTGTGGCGGAGCTCGAGGCGTATGAAGGCGGCGGAGGTGGTGCCGCGGGGCTTCTGCTATGCACGCCGCTGGAGGGCACCGAGTGCGAGGATTGCGCGCGACGACGAAGCGCTATTGGAGCGAGAAGCTGACGCGGAGCAGTTATGAAGCTGCCAAACAAGCGACAAATACAAACCCGGCACATTGCGGCAGATGGCGTGCTAACCCGGCAGACTGCTGCACAAAGCTGGTGCATGGATTCAACCTGGCACATGGTACAACTTGACGTAATCAGGGGGCATATAGCGCAAGTTGTACCATTAACTTGTAATATCTATTATAATAGCATAATTATGTAAACGTACTGTAGCGATCTACAGGTAGTAGGTACGCTTGCTCGCCCGTCACCGGCACCATCCGGCTGCCATGACGACCTGGCCGAGAGGCCGCGGCGGGGTTGTTGTGCAGCAGGCTGGCTGGTGTGGGGCGTGCGCCAGCCAACGACCCACGAGGTTCCGACGGCCGACGCGCTCGGCACTTCTGCGCGCCAATTCTACACTATGCTGACGGCGCCCTCGGAGCCCGCGGCGCGCCACAGCGGCTACTGCTGGGCGGACGTGCGCGACGTCGGGCGTGCGCACTGCGCACGTTCTTGCGCTGCTCAAGGCGCCCGCCGGCGGCGAACGTATTATCATCATCAATGGCGCATTCGTGTGGCAGGAGTGGCGTGAGTGACTTTCACTCCATTTCATACTTTCTTAGACTGTCTTCCGAGTCTTATTGCCCGCTCGCGATCGGCTGACATACACCCGTAGTGGACGCCGCCTCGGACTCACCTCACCTCCAGAAGGGTGTTCTCGGATCGTCGAAAGGCGTCGTGCACCAGGTACAGTACGACACGAGCAAGTCGGCCCGCGTGCTGGGGATGACGTACCGCACCATGCAAGAAACCGTGCGCGATACAGTGGCTGATTGGGAGGCCCGGGGATGGCTGAATGCTGTCAGTGGTTCGGTTTGACTTGACGGGCGCAAAAGATCTGACCCGTTGTACGAACATGTGCCAGTGTATTATGTTGCTTTGAAAAAACGTAGAGCCTGAAACACACTGGCAGTCAACAACAGATGGATGGTATCAACGTCACTATCAAGTTCTCAACGTAAAATAAAAAAGGGAGTACAGAGTATACATGGACCAGGACAGACGAGACACTGATGGTGAAGCGGTTATCATGCTTGCCTTCCATGTGGATTCTGCTTTCAAAATTAGCAAGCGGCAGGGGTTCGACTCCCCTTCAGTGTATATTATGAACTGTGAACTCTTTTTCAGTGTATATTGTGAACTGTGAACTCTTTTTTTTTTCTGAGTTGCTTTTTTGTCTTGCGCGGAACCTGCAGTTCAAGCATCCCCCAAGGAACACAAAGCCGATTAATTTACGGTCTATGCGGCCGAGACTACCGCGGATGGACCTAGTCCAACAGGAATATACCCGGTAGATTCAGACCACACAGGTCAGTCTACATTCAGTCCTTGGGCAAATCTACTCACTCAAGTAAACGTTTCGGGTGCTTAGATGGGACGGGAATTGACAGGGAATTGACGAGGCACAGTTCGCAACACGGGAAGGATATGACGTCCGGTGCTTCCTGCCTGTAAATTTTTCTTAAGAGGAGCAGAATTTTGTTGAGAGCAAATAACGATGGGTTGTGCCCAGCAATAGTGTTGTTCAAACCTTCCCTACTTCATCCCTACTTCGTCTCCTACTTGGTCCCCTACTTCCTGAGTAGGGGACAAAGTAGGAAGCCCAAGTAGGTGGTTTTTTTAAAGAAGGAGCATGTGTCATCCCTTTTGTCACAAATCTCCCCTACTTGGTCTCCCTTCTTTGGATATAACCTTTCTGGAAATTATAATTTTTGGTCAAACCCTAGAGTCTTGGTAGACTAAACTGACCCTTACGTGACCTGCTCCATCCCCAATTTAGGTGAATAAAAAAACAATTAGTTTAAACTCCTACTTGCTTCCTGGTTTAAAATAACGAGTCAGGGTGTTCAAAGTTAAGTAGGAAAAGTTTCCTACTTCCTCCCTTCTTGGGAACTAATTAATAAATTGAGCAGGAAATTATACAGAAATGGAGCTGGTTTTTAGAGGAACTGTCCTGTTCATTTTTTGTAAAAATCTGGGCAGAAATGTTTACTAGGGAAACAGTAGGAGCCGGAGTAGGAGCGAAGTAGGAGCAACTTTGAACGACACTATTAGAATATTGATTATACTGCAACATCATATCTAAATAAGGGCCGGCTGCCGCGGCAGGGCCCGCTACCTATCGAAAATATATAGATATTTATGCATGGACACGGTGCCCACAACGACCCCAACAAAATTGACCTTAGCCGCTCTAAGGCGACAGGATATCCCCAACCCGTACCCGGTACATTTTCTCCCACGCAGTCAGAGTCAGGTGCATTGCCATAGTAAGCGTACTGACTAATGTCTTACACATCTTATAACTCTGTGTCTTCATACTTCGCGCGATATGTCGTCTGGAAAGGTGCTTGTGACCGGGGCGAACGGATTTATAGCTGCTGTGAGTGGAGGCCTCATGATGTCACCAGTTGCCTGCGCTGACGGCCGTCATTCAGTGGGTTGTGCGCTCCCTCCTGGAAGAGGGCTTCTCTGTACGCGGAACAGTTCGCTCTGAAGCAAAGTGTGCGCATCTTCGAAAACAATTCGCCTCGTACGGCGACAGGCTTGAGCTCGTCATTGTACCCGACATTATCAAGGTAGGTCGACAAGATCGCTTTTCAGTCGCTTGATATGCCGCACTAAAACAATATCAAGGCGGGGGCGTTTGACGAGGCCGTCAAGGGAGTAGATGCGATTGAGCATATGGCATCTCCATTTTACCTCAATGCCGTTGAGCCGGACGGTACGCTCCTTGTCTTCCGGTCGACCACAGGCCTGAGCGTTCATGCATATATAGAGTTGATTGTGCCAGCAATACTGGGGACTGTTGGCATCCTAGAGAGTGCCCGACAGTACGGGTACGCCCCAAAACGGCTCAAACATATTATTATAATATCGAATACGCAGAACCTCGGTCAAACGCATCGTCGTCACCTCTTCCTGCGCCGCCGTGCTACAAACAGCGCCCGAGCCCCGGACACTCAACGAGGATAGCTGGAACGAGCAGGCTCCGAAAGAGGTTGAGCAGCTGGGCCGTGGCGCGAACGCTACCACCATGTATCGGGCCTCAAAGACACTCGCGGAACGAGGTGCGCGGTGCAAAAGGGATACTACAACTCGGAAATTAACACCAGTCCAGCGGCCTGGGACTTTGTTAACACGCACAAGAGCGAGATTGGATGGGATTTAGTCGTGATCAACCCGCCGTACGTGTTCGGGGTACGTCCATCCGCTCATCTGAATCCACACTGCTCATCTGGGGCGCGCGCAAGCCAACCATCCACGAAGTTCCGACGGCCGACGCGCTCGGCACTTCTGCGCGCCAATTCTACACTATGCTGACGGCGCCCTCGGAGCCCGCGGCGCGCCACAGCGGCTACTGCTGGGCGGACGTCCGCGACGTCGGGCGTGCGCACGTTCTTGCGCTGCTCAAGGCGTCCGCCGGCGGCGAACGTATTATCATCAGCAATGGCGCATTCGTGTGGCAGGAGTGGCGTGAGTGACTTCACTCCATTTCATACTTTCTTAGACTGTCTTCCGTCTTATTGCCCACTCAACTAACATACACCCGTAGTGGATGCCGCCCCGGACTCACCTTACCTCCAGAAGGGTGTTCCCGGATCGTCGAAAGGCGTCGTGCACCAGGTACTGTACGACACGAGCAAGTCGGCCCGCGTGCTGGGGATGACGTACCGCACCATGCAAGAAACCGTGCGCGATACGGTGGCTGATTGGGAGGCCAGAGGATGGCTGAATGCTGCCAGTGGTTCGGTTTGACTTGACGGGCGCGAAAGATCTGACCCGTTGTATGAACATATGTATGTTGCTTTGATAAATCGTAGAGCCTGAAACACACTGGCAGTCAACAACAGATGGATGGCATCAAGTCCTCAACGTAAAATAAAAAAGGACAATTGTACGAGGATGCGTATGCAATGTACAGTGGACGGTCATGGTGGAGAGATAGTTGAACTGGTGCTCTAGGATAATGAAGGATGGGCGCGATCACTCGACCGCAACTACGTCTGCCTACCACACGTCGTCGAACGTGTTGCGAATGTTTTGCAGTTCCCTCTTCGTGATACCGTTCCTCAGTGGGAGTCCTTGGTCGAAACTGCAGTCACGGCTAGCGCTTGCGACTTCAGTTCTGTCGAGACTGCAGTTGCGGCTCGCGACTTCAGTCCGGTTGAGACTGCAGTCCCTCAAGCTTGAGTCTCGACGTCGACAACACTCCACTCAAGTCGTGAGCTGGGACCTGATTCATGACCGAGCTGAACAAAACTTGAGTTGGAACGCAAACTTCAGTGCGGGCTGATACTTAAGATACGACGAAGGACTTAAGATACAAACAGATTCAGGGTCTTTAGCTACTGTACTGACAGTGGGCAATGGCGGTATGATGGGGGGACCCAAAGCTTCCCTTGTAGAACATCAACAGGATCTTAAAGATATCAGGCGATGATTTCACTTATATCTTCAGATACATCGGATTTTATAGAACGTTTGCAATTCTTAACCGGCCCATGTACCACACGAATACAAAGTATACATGGACCAGGACAGACGAGACATTGATGGTGAAGCGGTTATCGTGCTTGCCTTCCATGAGGACTGCTGCAAAGTTAGCAAGCGGCAGGGGTTCGACTCCCCTTCAGTGTATACTGTGCCACTTATCTCCTTTTTTTTTTGGAGTTGCCTTTTTGTCTTGCGCGGAACCTGCAGTTCAAGCATCCCCCAAGGGACACAAAGCCGATTAATTTACGGTCTATGCGGCCGAGACTACCGCGGATGGACCTAGTCCAACAGGAATATACCCTGTTTTTGTCCAATGCTCTTCACTAGATTAATATGAAGACGAATGCAACAAAAGCAGGTGACGTGGAACTAGGAGCAGATTCACACCACACAGGCCTGTCTACATTCAGTCCCTGGGCAAATAATCTATTCTCACTCAAGTAAACGTTTCGGGTGCTTAGATGGGACAGGAATTGACAGGGAATTGACGAGGCACAGCTTGCAACCCGAGAAGGATATGACGTCTCGAACTATCCTGTAAATTTTTCTTAAGAGGAGCAGAATTTCGTTGAGAGCAAATGACGATGGGTTGTGCCCAGAAATATGTATTTTCTATGCGCTGAAATTCCCTCTGGAATTTTAAGGCCTCCTTTGTTCACAACATTATCGATCCCTAAGGTATTCGAGAATGTCAAGTAAACAGTGGCTCTTTTTCCAAACGCTGGAGCATCGATAGTGGTGGGGGAAGTACGAGGTGAAGCTGTCAGAGAAAGCAGGGATGTTTCCTGTCAAACTCTACAATGTTCTGCCAGCTCTGATACACAGGTTTCCCTACCACCTCATCTCAACTATATATATTTAAGAATGTCTGGATTTGCCGATCAGGGCGTCGAGGAAAATATTCTGAATGTGAGGCAGAATATTATTGCTAGTTACTTACTGTAAATTTTCTGAGAGGAGTAGAACTTTATTGAGGGAGAATGAATAATTGAAGCGACCGGGTTGGCCGACGGTAGAGCTCGAACAATGTGAAGACGAAGCAGATGAGCTGCCCTGCGCCACTAGACGACGCTTCCGGGTAGCGACGTCGGGCGTGCGCACGTTCTTGCGCTGCGCAAGGCGTCCGCCGGCGGCGAACGTATTATCATCAGCAATGGCGCATTCGTGTGGCAGGAGTGGCGTGAGTGACTTCACTCCATTTCATACTTTCGTAGACTGTCTTCCGTCTTATTGCCCGCTCGGCTGACATACATCCGTAGTGGACGCCGCCCCGGAATCACCTAGTCTCTTATAAACAGACATAACAAAATGTCGACACTCGTACCTCGTGTGATATGTGTGTTATAGTCTGTCACTGACCTCGATCGTGTTAGTGCTCGCGCGATTATTATATAATCATCGGAGTTTGAATTTCTTCCCATAGTCATTGCAGGCGACAGCCACGCGTCTTCTCATGTTTCCATACCTCAAAACCAATAATACGACGCGTCAAACCCCGTAACATATTTCACCGAGTGCTCCAATAGACATAATTCTCCACTACAGAGTCTACAAACTCCACAAATCTGCCCATACATACTGCCCATGCGCAATAATTTATGACGCCGCGCTGTGTCCGTAACGAGTGCCGCGGCAAGTCCAGACCAGCGCGAGCCACGTGCTCGCGACGTCCGCGAGCGTGAAGGTGTGTAGGACATGAGTGTGCCGGTGAACGCGAGCGTCGGCGCGGGCACGTAGAGGATGTGGTTGTACAGCGCGGGGAGGGTCTGCGCGGAGGCGAGCGCGCGCGCGCCGGACGGCGTTTGTGGCTGGAGAATGCGCACGAAGGGCGTGGACGCGGCGTTGTATCCGGTGCACGACCGCGTCGATGTCGGTCAGCGTCGTGCCGCCGTGGAGCTCGAGGTCGAGTTTTCCCGACGGCTTGAGGATGTAGTGCGTGATGCGTGGGACGTCGATTACGCGCGGATCGGGGAGGAACGCAAAGCGCTGCAAGCCCTGCCGGCGGATGGAGCGGTACACAGGTGCGGCGGCGACGGCCTTGAGGTGGGCTGCGATGTCGTTGCTGGAGTCGGCGTTTCCGACGACGACGACGCGCTGCGGGACAGCTATGGTGAGCACGCAGTCAGGAATCTGTCGACAACACCGACCTTTCCCTCATAACCGCCCGGGCCGTACCACGTCTGCGCGTGCGTCGCGAGGCCCGCAGCGCGCGCCTCTGCCAAACCGGGCGTCGACTCGGGCCACACAGGAAAGTCGTACCACCCGGTCGCGACGATGACCGCATCCCACATCTGTACCGCCTCTGCGCCGTTCTTTCCGTCTCGCGTCGTCACGCTCCACCCACGCGAGTCCGGAAACTCGTCTACCCAGACGACCTCCGTCGATAACCGGATGCGCCCGCTGGCAAGGTACATTTCCGAGAACTTGCGGAGATACGCATTTCAGCGAGAGCGGGGTACGGGTGGATCTGGGACTTGGGTTTGGGAAAGGTGATGCGAGGAGAGGGATTTTGACAAGAACCGGATGCGCGGGCGTGGGCCAGAATGGGAGCGTGCAGTGCGCGCCTGGTGGTGGTGGAGGTTCGGATACCTAATCCTGCCTCGGATCTTTGTGGAGATAAGTGAGCAGTGGTCACGTACCACACCCGCCTCACCCCGCATCCTACGTCGGCCTCGGATGCGGCGCCACGCACCTAATGTGCGAGATTGCCCGGCATCGGATGTCTGTAGGTGCCGCGCCAGGATACCGAGGTGCCATGGGCAGTGGATGTGGCTGAGGGAGGCAGGGAGCGATGGCGGACGGTTATGGGAACGAATTCAAAGTCCGACGATTATATAATAGTCGCGCGACCTATACATGGGGGCGCGATCAACTACAGACTAGGAATCACCTTACCTCCAGAAGGGTGTTCCCGGATCCTCGAAAGGCGTCGTGCACCAGGTACAGTACGACACGAGCAAGTCGGCCCGCGTGCTGGGGATGACGTACCGCACCATGCAAGAAACCGTGCGCGATACGGTGGCTGATTGGGAGGCCAGAGGATGGCTGAATGCTGTCAGTGGTTTGGTTTGACTTGACGGGCGCGAAAGATCTGACCCGTTGTATGAACATATGTATGTTGCTTTGAAAAATCGTAGAGCCTGAAACACACTGGCAGTCAACAACAGATGGATGGTATCAAGTCCTCAACGTAAAATAAAAAAGGACAATTGTACGAGGATGCGTATGCAATGTACAGTGGACGGTCATGGTGGAGAGATAGTTGAACTGGTGCTCTAGGATAACGAAGGATGGGCGCGATCACTCGACCGCAACTACGTCCGCCTGCCACACGTCATCGAACGTGTTGTGGAGGGAGACCAGATATAATTGTTTGAATTGCACACCCGCCGGCGAAACCATCCAGTCCAACACCGTCGTTTGCTCGTACTGAGATCTCTGTCGAGGAAAAAAAAATGAGATGGGTACGAGCTCGGAGAGCACGGAGACGCGTGCGCACCTCGAAAAAGTTGGCAAAGCTGTTGGCGATTTGGATGCCCAGCGCGACGCGTGTTATCGGCGCGCCGTTGGGAGCCACGACAGGGATCGTGCGGCACCACTCGACGTGTCCGTATCCCGGCCACTGAAGCAACCCATTATGTGAGTCTAAATTCCTAACAACTTCGAGAAAGCGCTCACAAGAATCCGAAACACGATCCTCTGCAGCCCAGTGGCCGCAAACACGGGGTCGTCGGCGCCCTGGATCGGCGCAGCCGTGCCTTTGAGCCGCAGCTCGCGCATCGACACGCCCTGCCGCGCCTGCCCGGGATAGTCAAACAGCACAGGCGCGTGGGCTGGCCGCGCGCGTCCGGCGATCTGCTGCCACTCCCGCTTGGGTCTCCAGTCCTGCCAGGGGACATGTCGGCGCCTGGGGGGTGCGAAACTGGATCCCTGCTGGCCATGGGGGAGCGAGTAGACCTGCCCGTTGTTGGTGTAGTAGGCCATTGGCGAATTCGTGGAATCGGTGTAGGGTTCGGGATGTGAAATGAATGCGAGAGGAGTTTGGTGAAGGTTCAGGAGCCCCCGAAGCTGCTTAAATATGAGACGCGGTCTGGTCAAAGCCATTCTCCACGACCAAAGAGCGACTGCGCATCAAAGCGCCGAGGGGTTGACATAGGGCTATTTTGAGCAAAAAAGGCTACAACATAGGGATGAGTTGCTTTGTTGGTCCAAAGGGAGCGTTGCTTGACGTCCGCTTTGCTTGAAAGGACACACATGAATGCCGCCTGAAATACGTACTCCCGGCGGCCCCAGATACCAGTAAGTGCAGATCAAGCTTCGTAGTTCAGGCTCTTCAGAAGTTTGAGGTCACAGAGTCGATCCAGTACTCCACTCGTTTAGGGGTGGACTCTTGTGGCCTCACCGCGCGTGCCAAGCAGAAACAAAGAAGAAACGTGCCATGATCATTCAGTAGGTCCGGAGAAAGAGACAAAAGGACAAAGCAACGAATCTGATCGACCGTGAGTTTTCAAAGTCCAATCAACTTGAAAGTCCGACTCGGCTGGGACATTTGCTGATGGCGCCACTGGATTTCACTGGCAGGCGCCAAGTACGCCGGTGGTTTTCGGCTTTCGTCTAGGCGTGTAGACCGGAAGCTGTCGATAGACAGACTGGTCAATCGGAGTTTGAAATTAGTTAACGCACGGCTCCACATAACAAGTATGACAAATACCACCTCGGCCTTACAGCTGATTTCAGAACAGAGGGAAATTTTGTGTCACGTCACAAAATTTCCCTCCGAGTTTTTCCACCATATGTATCTCCCTCAATCCTGACCCGCGTCCGCCGCCGGCGAACGTATTATCATCAGCAATGGCCCATTCGTGTGGCAGGATTGGCGTGAGTGACTTCACTCCATTTTACAGTTATACTCTCTGAGAACCATCTTCCGAGTCGTTTTGCCCACTGGCACTCGGGGAGCTTTCTACTCGCTCTCTTCTCTTCTCCGATGGCAAGACCTGGTAGTGGACGCCGCCCCGGACTCACCTTACCTCCAGAAGGGTGTTCCTGGATCGTCGAAAGGCATCGTGCATCAGGTACAGTACGACACGAGCAAGTCGGCCTGCGTGCTGGGGATGATATCATGGCGTACCGCATCATGCAAG